TGTAGTGCCAGAGCTGCCCACCCTGGGTGTGTGTGGTGTGGGGCAAGGGGCCAAGGGCTGTGTTTAAACGCACCCGCACGAGAAATGCGATTTAGGCAGAACAAAGCACACTCCTGTTGTGCCTCCCCGTGATTATAAAATAGATCTGTGTCATTATAAATAGAAAATGACTGGTGACAAAGATGCTGCTTTGACTCACTTCTGAGGCCAAGCTCCTTCGCTGCGGTTCCTGATGTCAGACCAATTTAGCGGCTGCGCTGCAGGCGAGTGTGTCTGGTTTGGGGTTAGCCAGTCCACATCTCATGATGGCTTAATCTCATTTTAAAGCAGCAGGGGATTCACTGGGGTCCTTTGCAGGCATCATTCCCTCGCCCAAGGATAGCTGTGAACGCCTTCAAAACACGCTGTGCCCACTGCAAGGCTCGGGTTGCTAAACAGCAAATTACCTTGCCCTCCAAGGGACTGCCAAACTTTCGGGGTCTGTGAAGTGGAGATCCTGCTTCCACCCAACTAATGGTGTGGTTCTTGTTTATTCCAGTGGGAACCAAATCAAAGACACAGAAATAATAGTGCTGTTTCAAAAGTGTAAGTTTTCCTCTTTATGCCACTTTCCATCCCAACAAACTTCACAGCATTATTGAATTAAATAATGCAGATAAATACTCTGAATATATATATGTGTGTATGTATATATATAGATTTTATGTTGTACAATAGGTAATTTAAAAAAAAAAAAAGAAACAAACCAAAAAAACAAACACAAACCCCAAAAACCCAAACCAGAAACTAGAACTGAAGCCCCTAGTGCAGTATCTGGAATATTCTGTTCATTTACTCCTAAGCATGCTCCTTAAAACAAACTGCAATCTTTCTGCTCCAATAATTAAATCAGAATCCCACTTACATTTGTATTTTATACCACATTTTATTCCCAAAGCTGAGGATAACCTCTCATTTCCTGAAAGCTCTTAAAAACTTTCTTAATGAAAGAGTAGAGAAATCTGCTGTTTGCAAATTCTACTTACTTATTGCTTACTTCCAAACTAAAGTAGTTAATTTAATGAAGGAGAAAAAAAAAGGAGTGAAAAACAAGAAGACTAATTTGGTGCCCGTAGCCATTTCCCAAATTCTTCAGAGTTTATAGACCTAGAGAGACAGGGAAAGAGCAACTTCTCAGCAGTGCAGCAGAATAGGCTAAAATGACCCTGTGAAACCCAAGCAATTCTGGGAATTAAAGGATGTTCACTCCTGTTATGGTTCCACACTGCAAACTGCTTTTAGGGCTCCCAGTAGTACCCATTAGCAAGAGCCAAGCTTTTCTGTTTTAATTTAATTTAATTTAATTTCCACCAACAAATTCCACCCTGTGGTGAGAATTGACAGTATCATGTTGAGAACCATTAGAGCATATTTGGATTGTTTTTACTCCATGTATACATAAAAAAAAAATTCCCCCACCCTTCTTTATACTTCTTATTATGAAGTGGCTTTTCTTTACACAAGCCACTTCATAATAAGAGTGAGGCAGACACAATGGAGGCATCGTTGTGCTGTGGGATACCACCATAGGGAGTGTGGTTGGAGATACAGCAGAACATGCCTTGGCATTGCACTGCCAGCATAGCCTGGTCCCTGCTCACTCTGAAGCCCCAAAGGGACCAGAACAGAGCCTGGCAGCACTGCTCGTGTCCCTGCAGTCACCACCCAGTGTCCTTCTTCTACACTGAGAACCTTTACACCACTGCTGCTTCCTTTTCTCCATGAGTTCTCTCTGCACTCGAAACATCTTCATGCTTATGCCACCTTTGGCTTTACTGAGAATTCCTATTGGGAATTCCCCCACTGGGAATTCTGCCACCAGATTTCAAAGGGAAGAGAATAATAATGCCCTTCATTAATATAGGCTTTTCTGTCATGGCTTTTAGGCCCCTCTCCAGGCAGGCAGGCAAGTAAGCACATGTTTAACATTAAGCACATCAGTAGTCCCTACTCACACGCTGCAAGCTAGAAATGCTCATTAGTGCTGGATCATGGCTCCAGCTGAGCTCTAACACCAGCCAGGGAGCCAGGCAGGAGGAAAGGTGGCCCTCAAACCTTTCATCATGGTTGTACCATCACTGGTGGAGCAGTTTCAGCTCCTCCAGTGGGTGGTGGGTCCCCTTGGCAGCAGAGGCACAACCCGCTGAGCTGTGACAATGCCACCATTCAGAGCTGCTTAGCTGATGAGCACAGCTCAAACACACCACATTCAAATCCATCCTAGGGAGTGTTTTCAGGATTAGCTTCTCTCCAGTGAATGCTGAAAGGGGAATGATTTGGGGCAACAGGGGAATAAAATTATTGCTGCAGTCTCTGAGAGGCTGCTGAGTCCTGCGTGGGGAGTTACACAGGATTCTTTGTGTTTTTATGTCACTTGTTAAAAAATGGACATATCAAACTTTGGCAAACAGCTTTGGATAGGGGTTCTGGGCTTTTGTGGGGCCGAATGTTGTTTGGAATGTGGGACAAGGAAATAAAGCAGCTTAAGGCTCTCTGCTTTCCCTGCACTTGAGCTGGAAGGGGAGAAAAGGGAACAGGACTCCCCTTTTCACTGCTGAGCACTGACTGGGCTGTCCTAGTTCAGTGTCCAAACCAGCACAGCCCTCCTGAAAGGAGGAGATGGGAAATTTGTGACTCAGAGGGAACATGCCTTCTACCTGAGACAAACCCCTAGGCAAAGCCACCTTCAACATGCTGCCTGGCACATGCCTGTGCCGAAATTCACAGTCCAGACTAAACAGCCTATCAAACTTGGTTAAAGTATCCCAGATGAAAAGATACAATTTTAAAAATTATTTTAATGCTGTTTTCTGAAAAAAAATAAAAATAAAAATCATTACCTCCTTCAACTTCTCAACAAGTATAAACCTCACCGCTTTCCTGCCTCCTCTGGAATTACTAAGTCATTGCAGACATCAAAATTAATGAAGAGATGAAAGATTCAGCAGAGGCAAAATCTTACTGGAAAAATATTTCTTAATATTAAAAACAATTCAAGAATAATGAATACATTTAGAAAAGTAATTAAAAAAGGCAAATTTCCTGATGCTTAAAAGAATATACATGAAGTAGGACACAAGACTTAGGGTTGATTTTTTTTTTCTTCAAAACACCGATTCATTGTTTTAAAAGATAATGCTTCCATGTGCTTCTGGTTTTACAGGAGTGTGATTTCCACTGGCTATATTTTTCCATACTTTCAACTCAGCTAATTAGCCAGACTCAGGTGATGCAGACAGCGGGCTTCATTCCAGCAGATGGAAGGGCTACACTAAAACACAGCTTCCCCTGTGCCCATCCATGAGAACCCTGCTACTTATCACTGAGAAAATGGTTATGGCTAACTTGGAGCTGAATTTGAGCACAGACAAGAGAGGGAGAAAGGTGTTTAGGGGTTAAAATAAAATAAATATATATTTAAAATTAGTGCTACATGCAATTTAGCTGAACTTTCTTGTAGGAAAAAAAGTTATCTATTTTCTTTGTGCTATAGACTGTCATTCGCCCTGGCAGTGGCTTTCCAGCTGATGCAACCAGAGGAGTAACCTGTAGTTCTATATTCCACACTAGACCTGATAAAGCAATATCATTATGTGATTTCTATAGGAAAAAATGTTTCTCACAAGGCTTGCTTTAAATAGACTTTAAACAGATACTCTTTAGTCCTACCTGTGCTGCAAAATGACCTCTTGGCAATTCAAACAGTTTTAACAGAGAATAAAGGTAACTAATCTGTGGGATCCTCAAGACTCCCATACCACTGCTAATAGAAGAAAAATCAATATTCATTCCAATATGAATGGAGTGTTGGATTGACTGAGCAGGGAGCTTTGAAATAAATATCTAAGAAATGTTTGGATGAAATGGACATCTTCACAGACATTTGGTCTGCATTTCTGAAATGTAGATGATTAAATCCACATTGTTGGCTTCTTCCCTCTCTGCACTATGTCTTTCTTTACATCTTGCAAAAAAAATTTATGAACAAAGTTATTGTAAATCTGCAATGTCTGTCTTGTCACTTAGATTCTTTTCAGAAATGCTGCCTTGCCAATGTAGATATACAATCCCGTATGATTAATATTTATTACTTATAATTCTAAATACAATGGAAGGTCACCAAAAATACTCTGCCTAAAAGAGTCTGGAGCCCTTTAAAATCTCATTGGTGATGGATCCTGAGCCTTGAGAACTGAGCTCAAAATCTTAGCAAAACACTTTTCTATGTAGGATTTCCAGTATTTCCTGCTTCTGGCAATGGATAAAGCCAAGAAGCACAAAGGTGAGTGAAAGTCACAGATCTGAAAACATGAGCTTGGATTTCAAACCCAAACAAAGGTCAGGGAATGCCTGAACCTGTCCATGATCTTGGATCAGCCTATAATAGTGTTATGAGTAAAATGCAAGGTTAGGATGCAGAGTGAAACTTGAATTCAGACAGAACTGGCACCATAGCTGAAAACTGCTCCATTTTCCTCTAATTTGTCACATCCATCATTATATTTTATTTGGATATTTTGGAATACTGTATGAAAAATGAAGATATTTCAGGATTTTTTTTTTCAATTAATTGAAAGGAAATTAGCCTACGGACTTTTAGATTTTATTATGAAATCTTAAAAAAATTTAAGAACATGCAGATCATCTTAAAAAAAGTTCACTGCATTTATAGATTATTTTCTTTTTAATATAAGCCTAACCATTTTTAAACATAACTTTTTTTAAAAAATAGATGCAATTTGATGTCACTACAATCAACTGACGGTGATTTGTCCCTCTTCTATGAAAAATACATACAAACATACAAGAGAATTTCAGAACTATGAGATTCAGCAAAATGGTGAAGATTCTGAGATGGAAATCAGGGCAGACCCTGGTTCACCTGCCTGAGATCTGCTGCATGCTTGTACAGTCTTCTTCTAGGACATAAATATAATAAGCAGAGAGCAAGAATCTGCATCTGCTTCTGCAAAGTTGTCTTTTATTCAAATATTCACAGCAATTGTGACTAAGGAAAGCTACTGACTGAAGTGCAAACCTGGGAAAAGGCAACTGAGAAAAATGTAGTTTCTGTTGATTGACAGGATCATACTGAGAACAAAAAATCCCCAGGACCATTGATCAGGTGGAAGACTCTTCTTGAGGAACAAAATTGCAGAGCTTTGCTAATAACACTTTTCTAAACTGACCAAGCCATCCTTACCCAAATGTTGAGTGAAAACAAAAACCAGAAAGATGGGAAGAAAGGATCGAGTCAATTAAGATAAATAAATAAATAAATAATTGAAAAGAAGAAAAAAATATCACAGTAATTCCAATCTCATGAAGAAATGTTTTTAACAAGCCACATGTGCTTGTGCAGATACTTCTAATCTCATCAGATTTTTCTGGCTGCTACTAGTGTTCTCTGAGCCAGCTGATTTCTCAGCAATATTTTAGAATGCAAGCCTTTGCCCTCCAGTCAAGCTGCTGCTAAAATAGCCCACTCTCGGAGAAGACTTAGGAGTTAATGGATTTTCTTCTAAGGTTTTGAAAGTTCAGAACAAATTGACCATTGCATGTGAAACAATAGTCAACCACAAACTCTCTTCAGTCAATGACCAACATTCTGCTCCCAGCTGGGTTAGCATGAAAAGTGGAATTATCCCACTACAGCAAAAGGATGGTTTCAGATTGTCATCAGCATCACACGGCAGAGCCTGGCTTTCCAGGTTGTTCCACTTTCCCAGTTCTCTGGCTGCAAACAAGTGTGCTGTGAGGTTCCCCTTGGTCACAGCTCACCAGCTCGGGGTTCCCCTCAAATCAGTGCAGCTTTGGCAGCTCTGATCAGAAGGGGAGCCATATCAGGTTACAGCTCAGCTTTATCTTTCAAAACAGCAATAAATCCACCCTACACTGAGACCCGTGAACCATGTGCTCTCCTGTACTCCACAGAGCACATGAGTTTCAGGTGAAAGAGCTGTCATTCTGAATTTGCAGAAGAAACGTGCAAATAACCACCAGTGTACAGCAGACGTGCCAGGAAAGCACTGCAGACAGAGCAAAATAATCTCTTTTAGAAAAAGGAAAGCCTAATTCAGAATTGTGGAACCTGCATGGGTAAAGCCTGGATGAGTGGGATTGAGGCACCATGCATGGATTTTCTGCTAGCACACTTGCTGAATTCCTGGCTGGAAATGTGTGTCTCACTGTGCCAGCCTGCCCTCTTTGAGGCTCTCACAGCAAACCCCTCCTGGGGTGAGATGATGAGTGCTTGAAAATGACCCATCTGGAGCCCAAGGCAACGAAAACGCTTCCCCTGCCTGGAATCCGTGTGCAGCGACAGCTTCCCACTGCTGATCCAAGTTTCCCAAGATAGCAATTAGAAAGGAACTGGCAACCATACAGTCAAGATGACAATATCCTACATGGTTTGGTTTGCTGTGCCAATTCCCTCTGTGGATGCTGGAGTCAATCTGCTGCCCCTGTTATTGCTGTGTCTGTCTGTCTCTACCAACCACCAGATCCACTGGGCATTTTGGCACAGGCCCTGCTCTTCCAAGGGCTGCCTGCTCAATTGCTCTTTCAGTCTCTTTTGCTTTAAACGTTCAGATGCGACAACACCATGCAAATTTTATGCAGAGTAGCATCTGCAAGTCTGACATATTCACTCAGGCTTCCCCCTCTTGCGCCAAGTCAAAAATAAATACCCTATAAACTCCTGGGCCTGCTAAGACAGAAGATGCATTCAGAGAGTTTATTTATATATAACTGCTAAGAGCATTTCTGCTTTAGGGTCAAACTCCGATTTTTCCCCTCTCTCTCTCTAGTATTTTGTTCATGCCTCAAGGATCTTAATAGAACTGAGGGGGAAAGCGTCCCTGAAATAACCTAGAGAGGAACTGGTTCTATGTGTTCCTAACTCTCTTACCTGAAATTTCAGCTATTTCTAAAACTCTAAAGAATACAGGTCATGATGTACCCCCAACATAGAACAAGAAACCAGTCAAGTGGACTCATTTCCAATACTGATTGCAAATAATACTAGTTGAGCCAGATCTTGGGTTAGACTTCAAATGGTGTCCATCCCCCCCCCACCCCCTACTACTTCTCTTTTCTCCAGGGAGAGGCAGATTTGTCCCTGCCCAATACGCTCAGAATAGGTGAAGTCATAAAGATGCCAACCAGACAGCATAAGGATAAAGTACATCTTAAGGCAACAAGGAGCAGAGTCTGTAAAAGGGGACACTGAGCCATGGCTGGGGGGCAGTTAGGACTTGCTGAGCCTCTTGGCCACGTCTGCGTAGGCTTGCTCGATTTCCTTGTCTGCTGCACAGGTGTTGGTGAACTCATCCCTGGCGTAGGCGTTCTTCAGGTACCGCCACAGCCCCGTCATCTCTGCCGGGAACTCGAAGTTGCGGTATTTCTTTGCAACAATCTAAAGCAAAGATAAAACACGTGAGAAAGCATCTCACAAGGGATGTATCTCCTTCTTAGGGAGCTTCTTGCTCTCTCTGTCACATAATTAACAGCAAATTAGAGGAATGTCTGGAGAATCAGGGACTTATAATAGAAAAGTCTGAGAAGTGGCTGCCGGTTGTCTCCTATCCTGCAAGGCTGCTGCTTGGCCTAAGGACACTCTAAAGCTATGACCTGGCTACTGTCACCAAATTTCAAATTTATGGTACTTGAAGTTCATTGATTTTACCCTATTGGGGTTTTGGGGGTTTTTTAACAAGTCTTAAGTACATCACTTAAAGCTGAGACACCACATAAGAAGGGTCCGAATCATAAAAAGCAAGACAGATTTAAGAGAAAGGCATTAGGGATGATTATAACATATTTTCATATTAATTATTATATTTAACATTATTTGATATATATACGGTATTATATTTTTAATATATGTAATATATTTTGTCTGGCAAATGGTGTCAGGGATATAACCACCTACAGCTGTTGGAAGGCTGTATCCATATTCATGAAAAGGAGAAATTCAGGGTGGTATGGGTACCATGATTAGGAAACCAAGGATGATTTAGGATATATTAGAAACAGGAGCATTGGGATAAACTGAGAGAGAAAATGGTTCTTTCAAGACTTGTTAGACTAGGAAATTGTCTATCAAGGCAAATTTTCTATTTCTAAAAACACTCAGGCCCTTACTCAGGAAAATTGTTAAGTGCATACTTAATTTTAAGTACCTGTACAGTCCCATTGAAGTCAATGGGATTAATCTGTACTTAAAGCTAGTTGGTTGGTTAAGTATCTTGCTGGATTGGGATATTTCAGTTTCCCTGTAGGAATATACCATATAGAATAAGCCTGTGGTGACAGAGTGAACTATCTGATAGGAAGGGATGGATTAGCTAATTTAATGAGTGCTTCCAATCTCTAATTTTTCTGACAGTATAAAATTGTTCCTGGGCATAAATTACATACATATGTGCCACAGAGTTCGCCTTTATTTTTAAAGCACATGGTAGAGCTGTTTTCCATCTCAGATTTCTTAGGACAGTCATGTTCTCAGAAATGACTGTGATTTGTTTTTATTACCAGGATCCACTTGGTATATGCAAGTCCAAATCCTGTCCTAAACTGCATTTAATTAAGCATTCCTGCCTTCCATGACGCTTCACACGCATATGGGGAAGATAAAACCTGCTGGGGAACTTAAGTCAACATTTTCAAAATTTCCAGCACACATCTTCCATCAAGTGAAAAAATAATTTACCCTTTTCTTCTATCTGTTAAATGCTTTTCAGGCAATATCCTATGACTATGCTTGTCCGAGAAAAATTTTAATTCTCTTTTTACATCTTTCATTTCATCCCTAGGAGACAAAAACCAGTGAGGGGCCACACATTCATTTTGCATTGTCTGACTCCAACGTTGCCAATGAAGACAAGCCAGAATAAACGCTAAACCTGTGAGGATATTATCACATTTCTTACCTGGTGACTTATGTTCTTTTTAAGTTATTTTTTTTTCTTTTTGCATGTGTGCAGTCAGCTCCCAGGCTCAGTTTATGTTTTGGCTCACAGAGCCAAATTAGATGCATGACTTGGCTTTAATTCTTAGCTCGCTTGCTTGCCAAGGTCTGCCAGGTACTTGCGTTATTCTAAAGCAACATGTCATCTGATAAATTAAATAAATGCAACATTTAGAAGTCAAGATGATGTACATAATTTGCACTATACCAGCAACCATAGTACATCTTAAATCCTGGACCTCAGCAATGACTTTGATTTGTTAACTTCTCTGTGTGAAATACCAGATGGAATAAATATTCCCCAAAGAGATAGGCTGCTGCTCTTAAGTTACAAATGGGTGGGAACTGACTAAAGTTTTGACATGTTTCTTAAGGGCATTAAGAACTAATTAATACAAAAGAATGCTGCTACTTGCAGCAGGGTAAAAATAAAGAGACAAGACACCTAGAACTTAGTACTGTCTTCACCACTAGGAAGTGATGGGACAGTTTTCCCATGAACTAAATATAAAGTACCTTTATTTAACCTGTAGGAAACACTGAAGAGCAAAAGTGTGTTTCAAACTGTTCTTCTAGGCCTTAAGAACTCTGCTGAAATACACATTGGCTTTGGCACTCAGCTGTCAGAGCAAGGCACATCAAGTCAGATAAGGCTTCTTTGACTATCTCATCACATCTTTTACCTTGACAACATGGAGTTTGGGCAGAAGGTTGCAGTCAGCAAGTGACAGGTCATCTCCATCCAGAAACTTGCGTTTAGACACTTTCTCCTCTTCAGTGCTGTTTGCATCAATCTCCTCTGGCAGGGGAGTTCTCAGGTAATCATCCAGTTTCTTCAGAGCCTTCACCAAGCCTCTTTCAAGTGCTTTGCCAAAGAAAGCAAAGAATAAGTGATTAGGGCAGGGTAAGAATTGTTTATAAAGGCTCATCGTCAATAGCTATGGTAGTGTCTAGAAAAAAAGCCAAGAACCAATTTCTTTGTTGTTAATTTGTGCTCCAAAGCTGACACAATCCAATGGCAAAGTAGCCCAGCAAAGTACACCTGCTTGAGGATAAAGCTCATCCTGCAGTGGGAAAAGGAACACAGGGACCTCATTGTACCAAACAACAAATATCAGCCAAAGTGATCCCAGAAGGAAAAGGCAGCTTGTCAAGATGATACACCAAAAAAACAGATATTGCCTATGATATTCTTCTGGTCTGTTGAAAGCTATCACACAGGAACTGGAGCCCTATACACTGCTCCTTCATTTTCCTAACCAGCCACATAGGACTGCAATGAAGCTGCAATGAATTGTCTAGCATTACTTCAGCTCTATCAAGCCTTAGTTTTACTTCTTTCAACACCCTTGCAGAGTAATTAAAGGCAATAGCAATAATTGCAAAGATGCTAACCAGAGCTCCATAGAGCTGAAAGATATGCTACAAATGAGATGAGATATTAGCCAGTGTTAAAATTCCCATTTAACTCAGGTTCAACTTGAGTGCAAATGCTCTTTTTGAGAGATCTCAGTCTCTCAATGGAGAGGAGATTCCAGACCTCTTAGTTCAGTTACTGAAGATCCTGTCCCACACTGCTGCTGTCTCCAACAAATTCCAGTCTTCAAATGCCACCTAGACCTTTACAACAGATGCAGATTTTGCACCCAGGCAAGGAATTTGTGTCCTTATGCTTCACTGTCAGGACAATAGAAAAGCTTGGTTGCAATAATGCACTTACAAAAAGCTGTTCAGGTTTGTGCATTACTTAAACTGCAAACACTCAGGGCAAAGAAGGGTCCTTCACGTTTCTGTTTCAAGGGTGAAAAGCATGATGGAGTCCTAGTCCCCCACAAGTGCCCTAAAGTGCTAAAGCAACATAAATAAGAAACAGCAAGAATTTACAATGTGAAAAAATAACAACATGACTCATGGGCTTAAGGCCAGAATTTCAGCTGGTGAAAATTACCTGCAGTGATTTATACCTGCTGCAGATGTGGCCTGGAGTCAGTATTAATGGCCTAATGTTGTAAAATCTTATATCTCTGAGTAACTTACTGCCACTGAACTTAGAGGAGAATTACTCAGGTGGTATAGCACTACAAGGCCTACGGAGATAAAGTACAAGGACCAGTGGGTTAAAACTGAAATAGGGGAAATTTGGTTAATTATATGCAAGAAATTCTTTACTGTGAAATAGTGAGGCACTGTCACGGGTTGCCCAGAGAAGCTGTGGCCCCATCCCTGGCAGTGCTCACGGCCAGGGTGGACAGGGCTTGGAGCAACCTGGGACAGTGGGACATATCCATGGCAGGGGGTTTGCAACTTTAAGGTCTTTTCCTACCCAAAATATTCTATGATTCTATGGTCCTAAATATATTTACAGACCACAGCAGGCACTCGAAAAGGCTGCAGCAATCACCCTTTACAGACAGTCTTGCTGGCACAGGTAACTCCACAGGCTCTGTTGTCAGCTGCCCCAGTGCTTCTGGCACAGGGAGAAAGGCAGCATGTCCAGGGCCACTGAGAGAGCAAAAGCTGAGCACCACAGAACATGACTTCCCTGCTGCCCTAACATCCATTAAACCTGTGCCAGCAGTGGAAGTCAGATTAAGCCACTTGATGCCTTGCTCCCACTGAAGTCTCTTGGCCCAGCCCCAGGGAACCATACCAGCTCTTTTGTGGCTGACTCTGAGACACAGTGGCAAACCCTGGCTTAATTGATTGACTGGAGAAATGACTCCAATCCAACTGAAAACACCCCCACAAACATAGCAGGGAGAGAAGGAATTTTATTTCTGAAAGCAGAGCATCTAAAGCGACTGAAGTGCTGCCATCCATAAAACAAAAGTGTTGCCATCCCTCATTTAATCAATTCAAATTGAATTTTGACACTGACATTCTGCTGTCAGATGCTGGCAGTGGTGCCTTTAATCGCCTGCAGCTGTCCTGCCTCACAACTTCCACGGGAGGATAGGAACTGTGAAGTGTGGCAGCACCGACAGGATTTAGCCATCTCTTTTTGGTTTGACCTGTAACACCTGTTGAAAAGACAGTTCTGCTTCTCTTGGTCAGCCTCAGACGGTGTCCTCTTACAGTGTGCTCATATAGAGACAATGGACTCGAATTGCTGTGATTTTATTCAATTTTGTTCATCTGGGTCTAAGAGAACTGGCTGAACACTGGCAACTTTCCAGTATTCCCTTCACCCAGTAGGACTATTGGTTCTCCAAGTCATCTGAGCAATATTCCAGTGTCAGGAGGATGTTTGATGCTTTGTGCTGGCCCCAGGAGCAGGTCAGGTGTGTTTATGTAACGTTTCTGGATCTTATTAGGTTTGGGGTTTTTTTTTTTTTGCTCTCATTGCTCTATCAAAGTGCGTCATGGCTGTCCCAAAAACAATGCCTGGAGTGAAGCCTGTTTGTGACAGCAAGAAAAGCAACTATCCAAATTCATTCTTGGCGCTTGCATACAGCAGCTTTAGGCCAGAAATAAGCGTATGTTCAGGGTTCAATACATCTGTGACCTAATTCACAGGCTCTGCTGGAGCCCACAGGATGCTGACATCTCACAATGAAATCACCACACAGTCAGGACCATCTCATATCCTGATAGGCAAGAACTGAACAACTACTGACACCAATGTGACACCAATGACCCCATTTTTTAAATCAAAACTCTTCTTAGTAAACTAGATCTTAGATCCTAGTAAATTTCTCAGAACAGCCTGGGAAATAGAAAAATAGTGAGTAAGAGAAAACTACTCTCCTTCCAATTAAATTGTGAAAAAATTTTGAAAACTAAGAGAATTAAAATCCAAAAGTTGCCACATCAAATGGATTTTAGGTGCACAGGGCCAGATTTTGAAAGCCTGTCAATGGTTTCCAAGGCATTTTTTGAAATCCATATGCAAATATCCATGTTGCAAATTCTACTTTCTAGGTGCCCTAACATACGCAGATTTATCTGTATGATTTGAATTCTTCATGTTCCTTGAGAAGGTACTTAGAGAAATCCCTGCTCAAAGTAGGAGAATGTGTAAAATAAGCTAATTTTCTTTCTTACCTGGTAGGTATTTAAGCATTATGTGAAAGGTGAATAATTGTGAATGGAGACCAGGAAATTACCTCTTCAGAACAGCCTACAGCTCTGAATGTTCTGGGACTCTTCCCGAGGAAAGAACTGACCAAACTCAGCTTGGATCAATTCCTTAAACTTGGATTTAATTCCAAACTTCCCATACGGTGGCTATTTCAAGAAAATCTGGATGACTCTCTACATTGTCTCCACTGAGAACAGAGGGGAGAGGATGCACTCACCAAGGCAGGGGCCATGTGAACACCAGTCAGCACCAGACTGGATGAAGACATTTAAGAAGATGTGAAGATCTAAAAAGTTACTAATTCCCCATTTGAGAGAGTACCACCCACAGCGTGAACTTCAGAAGTAGCTAAGCACCTAATAATTCCCTTGGCAGCTTGTCCTCTGGGAAACATCATTAAATAACTAAATAGGTTTGCTGATAACAGCTAATGGGTGGGATAAATCGTCCCTGAAGTGAGGAAAATTAAAAGCATAGGTTTGAATTAAGCACCCTGAAAGCTTCCTCTCCGTTCAGTGGAGTTTTCTCTTCCACACTTGGTTTTGGTGACCCCTAAATGAGCTATGGGGAGAGATTTTCCTGAAGTGTCAAATCACACCCTTGCATTGTCTTGGTAATGTCAGGGTGGAGGATTCAATATTACAAGTAGAGCCAGGCCTGAGTATGTGGCTCTGTGCTGCTTTTGAAATTTCTACCTCCAACTGCTTCCCCATCCTGCAGACTTTCAGTAGGAACTTAGAGATCCCAAACGTGATGAGCTCTGAGAGAGGAGCCCAGTCATCAGCTTATCCATGCCACAGCTGATATGTCTGACCTCCTGGAGACCATTTTTCTGGACAGTAGAATCACCAAGCACAAAGGCACCAGCATCATACTGCCTTCACTGGGATATATTTTATATAACCTCCAATTCCAATAAATTCTACCCATGTATAGACAAAAACCATGGTGGAACCATCTCTCTCAGCCTTCTCTACTTCATTCTGGGCTACTCATGCAGCCAAAGACAACTTCCAGCAATCACAGTCCTGCCCTGTCATCCCACCAATAGTAAACAATAATATTAATAAAAAACCTCATGAGCTTTTTATGATTTTTATTCTCCCTTCAAGACTAGGATTTTAAACAACTTTACTCAAGAATTCTGAGTTAGAAGCCAGAAAAATTGCACTTTCCAACCTCAAAGCAACCACAGAACACTTAATGAATGTATTACCATCTGTCAAATGCACAGGGTGAGGTTCAATTTAGCTGATGATACCTAATTCACAATGACGTTCTGTTTCAGTAGAAGGTTACTTGATGTTGAACAATGAGATTAACAAATTCTGACATGCACAGAAATACAAATAATGTAACAAAAGTTAATAATTGGCAAAACTGTGCTCTCAGTTACACTGACATAAAAGAGAAGTAACTGCATTGTCAACAAGCTATTCCATATTTACTCCAACCAAGAACAGACTTTGGCTCTGTTACTCAACTCTTCAAGCAAAAACTTCCTTAAACTATTAGCCTGTGCAACTATTTCCAGGGGATGGAGAGAAACTCTTGTGCCTTGAAGTACTTACACTACATCTGAACAAAACATTGGAAAATGTAATGCATGGAGCAATCCTGCAAGTCAAGCAGAGGGCCAGATGACAAAGATTCATTAATAGGTACTCAGGGTGAAATTTTGGCCATCCTGAAGCTCATGGAAGGTTTGCTGTTGACTTCAGAGGGATTAGGATTTCTCCAGAAGCTTTTAAAGCCAAAAGAGACTATTTTAATCAGTTAATCTG